AAAAAAAAGAAATTATCGTGTCAATTTAAAATATACCATTTGGTAAATAAAAAAAATATATATCTGCCTTTTTATTAGACCTTGAATACACTTACACACACACACACACGATAAATGTATGTTATATTATCGATAAAAAAAAAAAAAAAAAAATAAAAAAAAAAATAAAAAGGAAGACTCATATAATACGTGATAAAAAGATAAAAATATTAAAGATGATAATCGAACAAATATTTCTAATCTAAATAACGAGATTATTATGTTCTCAAAATATCACGTTTAAAATCCCATTGGGAGATTATATAAAAAACCACCACCAATACATTTTTACGAATATTTACATTATTTTATTTGTTTTTTATTTTTTATACATTTTTTAAACATGTGTGTGTGTGTGTGTTTGTATATAAACAAATTCATATTAATTCGCACAAAGTATAAAATCAATCATATCAATCATTTCTAATCTAAATAACGAGATTATTATGTTCTCAAAATATTACGTTTAAAATCCCATTGAGATTATAAAAAAAAAACCACCACCAATACATTTGTTTGAATATTTACATTATTTTTTTTTTTATTTTTTATACATTTTTTAAACATGTGTGTGTGTGTGTGTGTATGTATAAACAAATTCATATTAATATGCACAAAGTATAAAATCAATCATATATCAATCATTTATATTTCAGAAGGGTTTAATATATTGAATTTTATTTTATTTTATTTTTGTATTTTTTTTTTTTTTTGGTGATGATTATTATACTCATATGAACGTATATACATGTATATATAGATGTATAGAAGTATTACAGATGTAGGAACGATAAATGTCACACAGCAGTCTAATATAAATCGAGTAGTGTCCTAGATATATAGTCCAGACATGATTAAATTCAATCAAGTCGCATCGTACTCTGAACACCTCCGCCCCCTTCATTATGCTTTTAACAACGACAAAAGAAATCTACGATGATGTTAATAAAACTAAATAATAATAACTATTTTTTAATATGTAGTAAGTATCATTATTATTTTTTTATATATGTATAATTATCTTTACTTTTCTTCTTTCTATTTACTTGACCTCATTTTGATAAATAGAAATAATAGCAGGAAGGATGATTAAATATATATAATATTAAATAATATAATAATAGTAAAATTATTAAAAAATATAATAATAATAATAATAATAATAATAATAATAATGAAATAATAAAATAATAGTAAATGTTAATTTTGTTATAATGAATTTATTTCATGAAATAAAATAAAATAAAATGTATATGGTTGTTTATTTATCTTTATTTATATTCAGTTCTTTACATGATTTCTTTTTAATAAATAAAAATAATAATAAAAAGTATAATATAAAATATATAATAATAAATAATATAATAATAGTAAAATAATAAAATAATATGATAATAATAATAAAATAATAATAAAGGTAAAGTTTGTTTTAATGGCTTATTCTGTAAAATAAAATTAAATTAAATTAAATTAAAAACAAATAAAATAATAAGATAATAATAATAATAATAAAAGTAAATTCTATGTTAATGATTTATTCTGTAAAATAAAATAAAATTAAATTAAATTAAATTAAAACAAAAATAATAATAATATGCTTGTTTATTTATTTTTACATTTTCCTGAACCTTTTTTTAATAAATAAGAATAATAGTAAAAAGTATAATAAAATATATAATATTAAATAATATAATAATAGAAAAATAATAAAATAATAAGATAACAATAAAATAATAATAAAAGTAAATTCTATGTTAATGATTTATTCTGTAAAATAAAATTAAATTAAATTAAATTAAAACAAAAATAATAATAATATGCTTGTTGATTTATTTTTTTTCTTTTTCCTCAACCTTTTTTTATAAATAAAAATAACAATAAAATATATATAATAATGAATATGATTCTGCTTTTTTTAATTTTTTTTTTTCAAATTATTATTATAATAATAAAATAATAATACCCATCGTTGTTTCATTCCTATCGTTAGAAAGATGATCGATCGATCTTATCGATCGTTATCAAAACGTTTACCATCGATGATAATAAACTCTTACAAACGTAAATATTTATACCTAATTCAAAAAAAAAA